GCGCCAACAAGATTATGGGCGAATCAATTTTTGCCCTTTCCTTACCGAATTTCTTTCCCGTTCTCCCATCGTTGGTTGCCGGTGGATCTCAGTTTCCGTTTAGAGGAGTCGTAGTCCGGGACGAGGACGCGGATGTCGCCGAAGAGCGGAGAGGTAGTAGAGCAGGGTTTGGCCCGGGTTGCCCAGGCAGGCGGGTGCTTCGTCGGGGTAGAGGTGTGGGAGGAAGGAGGAGAGGAGGTCTTCGGCGGAGGAGGCTGGGGAGGGAGAGCGGGAGGAAGAAGGGAGGAGAGGAGCGGAGGGGCGAAGGGGCTGGATGCGGGAGGGGAGCATTGGGGTTTTTATGTTTGGAGTGAGAGGAGGAGAGAAGGTGAGAGTGCGGTGGGAGAGAGTTGGGGGTTTGGGGATTGAGGGTTGGGGAAGGTTTGGAGGGGCTGTGATGGGGATGACATCAGGGTGTTTCCCCTCCTCCTTACTGTCACCTACGAGCCGGTTATCAGACGAAGAATAGCACGACCACCATGGCATTCATCTGCATGCCTTGAGAAATCCGTCACATGCTGAACAAGTATTCTTTATTTCATGGAGATATCCTCACCCAAGCCCCCAATTGCCCTTGCACCAACAGTTGGATCTCCCCGCGCCAATCAGCTTCGATGTGAAAGCCCATTTGACAATCCACAATTCCCGCAGGAGTCGCTGCATTCTCGGCGCGCAGGAAGAAAAATCCAACGCTAAGACGAGCGGTGGCCTTCTGGACTGTCTGCGGACAGGGGTCCCGCAACTGTTGGGGCGAAGGGAAGGGCAAAGCTCGGGTGTGTCGCTGTGCCGCCTGGAAGGGGTGATGCACCGGGCTTTGCGAGCGTGCTGCACGCGGCTGCAAGGATGCAAATGAACAAAGTCTTTTCCCCTTGAGGTGTCCTACGTGATGCTGCGGCTGGGGGGTCTGATATAGAAGTGTGGTTTTTTTTTTTTTTTCTCTTTCTTGACGCCTTTATTTCTCCGAATTAAGATGGGGGCTCCCAAGCGCGGCAACGGCTGGAGAGATATCCACCACGTTCCTCTCATGCAAGGATCAGGAGAGTCTCGATGCAACGGTCTGAATTTCCAGCAGCGCATGTTGCCAAATATCGCAAGCGACGACGATGAACCCCTGGAACTTGCCCCCTAAATAGAAACACGCACGCCCGGTATCATGCCTATAGGAGACGAGATATTACAAGCCAACGCTCCCTCGGCTTCTGTTTCTGTTTTGCTCTCGAGAAGCCCAGCTGGATGGGACGGTCTCTTCGTCTTGATTTGCTGGTATTAAAAACGGGGGCCCCGTTTCTCCCTCTATCGAGATAGTGTGATGCCGGGATGTAGGCGACAACGGCGTTTGCGGGGGCAGAGACATTGTTATCTTCCTCATATTCTCCCCCTTCCCCCGTTCTTTTACAGGTCTCTCCGTGGTTGGTTTTTGAATTGCTGATCTTTCTTTGCGGTGCATCTATTTGTCAGAAAAGAGAAGAAGAAAAAGAAGATAGAGATTCAGATCGGCACGATGGCTGCTGCTGATAGTGCTCCTGCTCTGCCGGACTATGTGTTGGATTGCGATGCAGTGCTGAAGGACGACGTTGCCTGGCGGTATGGGAGGGCACCAGATTATTCCAAGACGAGGAAGGTTTATGAAGCCGGTGAGTTGCTGCTCTTATCGACGAATGCCGGCGTTGTCGTGTATTTGTTGCTGAGATCTATATGCCAGGCAAAACGCGCAACCACGAGCCAGGCAGCCTTCCGAGTCTTGTTGAGAACCTGGTCAAGAACTGGGAGATCGAAGCGTCGTTCAAGACCAGGCTCGAGGACTGGCGCACTGTCGACGCCAGCTGCTACACGTTTGGCCTCAACGGCGGGCCGGCGCGCGATGGTACTCATATGCTGGAGGTGGGGACGTACAACGCGCTCATCCCGTCCAACCAGTACTATGACCCGGAAAAGCTGGACTTTACGACCAGCCACAAGGCGTTTAAGCGAATGATGCCAGCGTTTGCGTGGGAGGTGCTGGAGGTGTACAGCGGGCCGCCAGCGGTGGTGTTCAAGTGGAGGCACTGGGGCAAGATGGCCAATGATTACGTGGGCATGAACGAGTACGAATTTTTTCCCCTTTCTCCGCTTTTGCTTTGCCGTTGTTGCAGACAATTTTTTTTATTTTTTTTTTGTTTGGCTTACCATCTGGATATGTAGCAAGGGCGAGAAAGTCACGGTCAAGGCGCACGGGGGCGATATCGACATCCAGGGCTTGTTGGTGGCCAAGGTGAATGAGAAGCTCCAAATTCAGTCGATTGAGGTGTGGAATGATCCCATGGAGATGTTTCGACAGATTGGGAAGAACGGGGATGCCGTGATCACACCGAGGGCGGAGGGAGAGACGGGCACGGAGCAGCCAGGCTGTCCGATGGGGCATTGAGCTGGGAAACCCATGTAAAATGACTGTATGAGGAATGGAATTTATCAGCATTAGCATGCGCTGTCCATTGATGTAGACGTCATGCTGAGAACCAGCCATGAGCGTGCGATTGATTCCGTCATTCTTCAGGATTCTCGGATGGAGATACTCCAGTGCGGAATTGTGTGGAGCATCAGGGGAAGATGTCGCTGAGGGCTGAGAGAGTGTAGAAGAGTGAATGCATGCTCAACGGAAAATAACATCAGTAGGATATAGAGAGAGAGAGAGAGAGAGATGCAGGCTCTGTATCACTGGACACGGAGGAATCGAGTCGGTGATACAGGAGTCTGCCTGCGTGACGGGTTGACTAGCCGGACATGAATGAGCAGAGAAGAGACAGATAGAGACAGACATAGAGAGAGAGAGAGCGTCGGAATTACCTCGACGCCAACACGATCATCGGCATCATCGCCGTCAAACTGGCTGTCGATCGATCTGGATGCTGTTGAACTATTATAAGAATAGTTCAGGGCGAGATGCTTACTGCCAGCGACGGAGCCTTAATGCCACCTCGTCAGCTGCTGCATTGCTTTTTCTCCCCGCAAAGAGAGTCTGGATCGGCGGTCCTCCATCGATAGCCGCAAGTTTGCCACTGGGAAATCACAGAAGAAGAGAGAGGTGGAATAGAGAGAGAAACGAAGATGATGGCGATTCCATTCTTACAGACAAGAGACATGGCTGTTCTTCTGAATGAATATCGAGGATAACCAGCTAAATTGTCCGGCTGCTTTTCTTTGCTTTTTCTTCTTTTTTATTTCTGTAGCACTGCTATCCACACGCCGCAGCATCTCACGACCAGCCAGCACGCTGTCACATGCTCGCTTTCATCTTTTCCATCTCGACATCGTCTCAACAGCATCTTTCTTCATCGCCAGCACCACGTCGGGACATGTCGCTTCGCCTGCCTTTGCTCCATCCCACTGCTCGCTGCCAATTCTCCCTCCCTCTGCCTCTACCGTGCATGGTCGCTCACTGATCCTCCCCCCCGACTTTCTCACCACCTCGCCTGTCCTCTCGTCCCTGCCAACCACTTCCCCCGAACTCCTGTCCGCACCCCTCCCCTCGCTCTGAACAATGGCGTCCTACAAGGTAGATCTCGCTTCGTCCTACGTCCTCCCGTCCTCTGTTCTAACCTGGATCCCACCCCGGCTAGGAAGCTTCCAATGCCCGTCCCCTTGGCCAGTCCACGCCCCATCCTCGCCAGTCCTCCGGCCGTCTGCATTCCCACTCCATATCCCTGGGCGTCGTCAACACAAACCACCGCGTCACCCGGCGGAAGAGCATGACCTCCACCGCCGCCGCCAACATGACGGCTGTCGCTGCTGCGCTTGGTGAATCCGCTGCCTCGCCAGGCGTGCCCTTGACCTCCTACCACCGTCGAGGCCTCAGTTCTCGAAAAGCCGGCTCCGAATCCACCTCGATGGGCTCGGCCTCTGCCTTTGGCTCATACCTCGCCCAGCAACGGAAGCATTCGCCCAATGCCGCCGGGGGTAATAGTAATAGTAATCATAATCAGAGCGGCGAAGAAACCTCCTCCGCGAGCCGCCCCATCAGCACCAAACACCGCAACCGCCGCGCCAGCGAGGGCTCACATCTGATGAGAGGTGAAGGGAAGCGATCCTTGATTGAGTTGAAGTGTGATCGGTGTGGGAAGGGGTATAAGCATAGCAGCTGCTTAACAAAGCATATGTGCGTGTCCCTCAATGCTACCCCATCGTCCCAACACCCATTATTACATCAATTTCGTCGATGGAATATGCCTCTGGCGCGCCTCTCAACCGATTCAGGACTGCTCCCGTACCTGTGGTGCACACGGTCCATGAATCGGTTGCTTGGCCTCCTGCCACTCAGTTTTGTCCTTGTTTTCCCTTCCCCTCTGTTCCCAGAGTGAATCAGTCTAAATTTGCCTGGGCCAAATGTTATTGACACTTCAGGATAGGTGGGAGCATGACCCGGCGTGGGCGTACACCTCTAAACTTCTCATCTCCAAGCATCAGCAAGTCCAGCTCCTCGAAGCCGCGACCGTCCTCGTGAACATGAACCAAGACGATCCCGCCCAGTCTGATGCTGCCAACTCGGGCGACTCGGATCGATCCTCCGTCTCGCCAACCGCCTCTGGCATATCAGAACTGCGTGACGAGTTGAGCTCGACCGAGACCACGCCTCCGCCAATGGGGGAGGAGTCCATGACGAAGTTGGCAGATCATCATCGCTTCGGATCTTCTGCCTTCTCGCGATCATTTCAGTCCGTTCCTTCGAGTTCCTTTGCTGGCAGTGCTCCCTCGTACTCGCCAGCTCGATCTCACTTCCGCCAGTCGAGCATAGACACTCGGCCCTCAACGGCTGATACCGGCGTTCTGGATGACGACGAGGCGGGATTGGCCGCTGCCATTGAGCTCTGCAATTTTGGTACTCCACGCACGGGCCCAACAGTGATGTCTTCTGACGTTCCCCCCGTCCCGCCCTTACCGGCTCGCTACTTGAGCCAAAGCATGAGCAGCAACACTCTTGCTGGCGGTAGTGTGCACAATACCGCACGAAGTTTCGACGTTCGAAGCACAACCTCCAAAGACGCTTCATCCACTCCAACCATGTTTAACCCCTTCCTCATCAACCCGCCCCTCTCGTACAAGATCTCGGACGAGCGGGACGTGAAGATGGGCGAGGTCAAACCGATTCAGGAAGAGGACGACGACTTTGATCGGGGCTCAGTCGTTCCCATGGATGAGGATGATGATGGGGTTTTTGGTAAGATGGAAGAGTAATTGACCTACTGCTAGCTTACTTGTATACGGCCTACTAAACCCAATGAACCATCTTGCGTTGTTCCCTGTTTTTCGTTGTTGAACACTGATGACATGATCGATGTTTCAAGACGGGGAAGACGATCGATGATCGACACGGGTTCCCGTCAGCAACTGGGGAATCGGCAACGGGCAGTTATCCACAGATTGCCCGCCTTGGACTGGGATAACGACACTTTTTGCTTTTTCTAAACTACTCGAGCCTTTTTGTTGCGGGAATAGTTTGTTTCCTTTCGCAGTTTAAAGCTGTTGTCTTGCTTTTTGATTCCCTAGGTACGTTGCTTTGCCAGATATACGATGTACAATGAAACGATATATACCTCTTTTTTCATTTTCTGGTTGGAGCCGCATTAGCTTTTTGAATAATCACGAAATCTCTTGGCCTCTTTTCACACACATACGGATTGAAGATGAACCATTGCCAGGATGTTGTGGGAGTAACGTTCAAATCCTTTTAAGGATTTATTTCGAAAATAACAGAAATAGAGTCAAAACAATCAAGGGGTCGCCGCCCCGAAGAAACAAAACAAACAGAAACCCCGGCATAAATGTAAACGAAGAAAAAAAGGTACAAAAAAAAAAGATATAAACAGAAACATAGACACCAAACACTGCCCGCAGGCATCCATTCCCACAACCCCGGGTCCATCCCTAACCAACCCCCGAAAACGTTACCCCAAACATCCCCAAGAGCTAGGCCGACGCCCGCCGAATTCGATCCCTCCAAGGAGTTCCTTTGCACCACACAACCACGACAAACCATTGCTCGGAGGCATCCTTCGTTCAACAACCCTCATACTCTCCCAAAACACCGCCCAACGACAAGGCCATAAGCCTCTGGTAATAGCCAATCCCTCCGGAGGGAAAATCCAAACACACAACCACCCAAAACAACGCCCGTAGGCATCTTTCATTCCACCCTCCGAGAACATCCCCCAAAACAAGCCCCAAAGTATAGGCCGAAGCCGTCGGTAAGTTGGTTAATCGATCCCTTCGTCGGGATAATCATCGGTATGTCGCAATCTTCGATTCACGGTTATTCCAGTAGAAAGACAACGCCACCACACACACATCCATCTCGTTAGTTGACCAGACACAAGTGCTTCTTCGACAAACTTCCAAAGTGATAAGTAATAAATTTCCCATCATGATCCCGCAACCCAGGATGTTCCATTCCAGGAAGATAACAGGAGATGGCAAGAAGACAAACCCGGCCAAAGACCCCACCCCGGTCAAGCGAGCGTTTTCTCAAAGGAAAAAAAAGAAGGGAAAACGTCAGAAGGATTGAAAAGAGAATACCAACCGTCAACCCAGAGTTTCCAAGAATTTCGAGACGCAGGGCCAACGACTCCATACCACGCGTCTCACAAAGCCTGGCAGGAAGAGAGCACAATACGGCGAAAAAGAGGGAGAAATGTCAACAAAACATTTCTCCGCAGTCATTTTTCGCTTTCTTGAGACTCTGCTCTTGGAACTTCTAGAGAGGGGAAATAGCGACGAAGGCCTAGCCAATCGAAAAGACTTGGTTCTCTTGGTATCAGAAGGAATCTTTTTTTTCCCTTTGTCGATTTCCTTTCTCCACCCCGTTGAAATCGCTAACTTGACAAAGATGGAGTGGTTAGTAGGGAAAGTACCTGCAAATCCTTTAGGGACAGGAATCCGGATGAAGATGGACCATAGGGGTATCAAAAGTGTTTGGATTAGGGGAAGTTTGGTTGGATGTTGGACCGTCGCAGGGGATTTTCCACCTCTCTAGTCGTCTTGTCTCTTTAAAACGGTCTTTGGAAGATATTTCTTTTGGAAATATGACGAGGAACCTGCCGGTGCAGGGCCTTTAAAAAGGGAGTAAAGTACGATAAAAGTGTGATTTATGGCGAAGGCGAAATGGCGAGACGAAGACATGACGAGACCGGAGACAAGAGACGTGAGAAAGAGAATTGATGTCGGTGATGAAGTTATTAGTATTCGAGAAGGTGGAAAAGAGCCCAAGATATAATTATTTGTCACCATGTCAACCAGAAAGCATGGAAAGAGGAGAGCAATTGCAGCAGGATTTCGAAAACAGGAAACCGAAAAAACACCACACAGCACGCTGCTCAAGACTGGCTGGAGGAAGCAGGTGCTTGGACCTGCTCCTCGGCTTGACGGATTGCCTGGTCCTGAGCGGCAAGGAGGCGCGCCCGTCCTTGTCGCTGGCGGGTTTTCTTTGACGGTCGGTTCCGTCGCTTTTTCTTTTCGGCGGGATCCGCTTCGCCAGCCTCCTTATCGGACTCGGCTTGCGGTCCTTCTTCTTGTTGTTGCTTTTGCAGCGGCTTTTGCTCGGGTTGTTGCTCGAGCTGTTGCTCCGGCTGCCGTTGTTCCGGCTGCTGTTGTTGTTGCTCCTGCTGCTGCTGCTGCTGCTGCTTTTGTTGTTCTTGTTGCTCCTCTTTGGGCAACGCAGGCTCGGTGCCATTGCTGTTGCAGTTGTCGCTTTCTGGGACTGCGGTGACGGCGACGGCGGACTCTGGTGGAGTGTCGGGAACCTCCACGGTTGTTGCTGGTATCTCCGCTGGAGTCTCGGAGGTTGTCGGTTCGGGCTGTTCTTCTTTTTCAACGGGCAGAACAGCGGGCGAAGACTCCGTGGATGATACCACCGTGGGAGGGCCAACAGGTTCCTCTGGGATAGGTGCCGAGTCAGGAGTTGTTGAAACGTTCAACTCGGCTGTCGAATCCATGACACCTGGCTCTTGGGGTTGCGCTGGGGGGAGGAGCTGTTGGGGCCGCGGTGTCTCCAGAATCAGGTTCTGGAAATCCTGGGAAACAATGGGGTGGAAACTCAGTTCTCTAGAGAGAACTGGGTTCTTCCATAGTTCCACCAGAGGAGTTTCCTTTGCCTGCTTCGGGGTGGACACCGGGACGGTTAAAGTTGGAACAGCTCCGCGCACAAGAGAGACGTTGCCGGTGTATGGAACGAGTTCCCAGCCCCGATAACTGTTATCGGCCGCGTTGGTTGATGATTCCACAGAAGAATCTTCGACCAAGCTTTCGGTGCTTGTGGAAGACGACGACGTTAAGCCGATCAAGTCGCTAACGGCATCCAACGAGGTGATGGGCCCAAGAACAGGGACACCAGAGTTGGCACGGGCCGAAATAGACACACGGCGGCGGTCGGTCGTCAAAGCGGTTACCGGGGTTCTTGGTCATAGCCCCCGATTTGATGAGCACGAAGCTTAATCCACTGACCAAGGAGGACACCAAAGCCACAACGATGCAGACGGCTTGTCCCATTTTCAAGTCGGAGTCGCCACGGGAGCGAACGGCAGACGGTTCACTCTCGACGGTGACGACACGGGACGGCACGGGAAGGGTTCTTGTCGGTACGGGGACAGAGGCCTTCTGCATCGCAGCCAAATCCAATTCGAAGGCGTCGTGAGAGGACAGGTTTGCGAGGCTGTCCAGCTCGGCAAGGCATGTGTTTTCCACGCGTCGGAAGCATGGACGAGGATGACACACGAATCTGTCGATGCAATATGTCGCCAGATTCACGCTCTCATACCAGCCTCTCACGACTAGCACTGTTTTCGTCGATGCTACCACCCTCCATTTTAAATTGAGCTGGGGGCGGATTTCCGTAAACGGAACCGGAGCGAACGATCCCCAGATCGTTAAAACGGAGATGATTGCCGCGAGGGTGACGGGTAGCATCTTCGTGGTCGATTAAAAATTTTGCCTAAAAAGGCCCGGAAGGAGGAGAGGAAGAGGAAAGGGTTAAAAAAAGGTAAAAACGAGCTTTCAAAAGCTTTAGCTCTCGGTAGAGCAAGAAAGAGAGAGAAAGAGAGGTGATTCGAGATGGTGGTGATGGTGGCTCGCGTGAGGATGGTGAAAACGGTGAGTGAAAGAAAAAGGGAGAGAGAGGAAGAGAAAGAAAAGCACACAAAGGATTTTTATATCAAGGCAAGCGAGGGTCACGGGGGAATCACGAGGCCAGTAAACAACACGTCGCGAAGGAAATTTCCATCAGGAGAATCAAGGAAAAGGGCGGCTTTGTTTTGTTGTGTCTGGTAGAAAAGGGGGCTAGGCCCAACACAAGGAAGAGGGGAAGATGCTGGAATCGGAGGATTCCGTGGAAGGCTGGCAAGTTCCGGATATTCCTGGTAGGTTAAGGAGGAAAATGAAGGATTGATATGGAAGCCATATAATCAAGAGTTCATGGAAAAGAGAAGCGCTTTTTTATATCTTAAACCAGCAGGTAAGAGCGGTAGCCCATCCTCCCAAACGCCCGTACATGATTGTCGTCGACATGCAGAAACCAAAGCCAAAAAAAACCCCTGGTATATAGAAAGCAAAAGTAGAAAATGCAGATGCCAACGGAGGAGCCAGGTGAATGCCAACAGCTCAGTCGATATCCATTTCCTCCTGTGTTCCCCCATCCACCAGCATTCTTGTCTTCTTCTTCTGCCGCACCCGCTCCTGGCCAACGACAGCAGCGTTCTTGTTCCTCTGTTCCTCCAATGGCACACCTTTCTCCAGCATCTGCAGCTCCTTTCGAATAAGATGCTCTCCTTCGGCGACCACTCTCCGGTCCTCCGCTCTCTTCCTGTCTCTTGCAATCTTCCCTGCCAACCTCCTCTTCGTAAACACGCGCTCTCTCCTCTGCCGAATTTCTTCCACCCGCTCCATAGCCTTGACCGTGGCCGCAACCAGATTCCGGTCATATTTCACGGGGATGTTGCGCTTCTTGGCAAACTGTGAGAGGACAAGGGACGAGTCGACGATCATCTCCTTGCCGCGAAGCGCGCGATGTGTCTTGGTCCACTTGAGCTTACGCGGTTGGCGCTTCATTTTGAAATTCTTGTGGCATTTGGAGCGGCAGAAGCGAAATTGGCGGGCATCGTTGCGGACGAAAGTGATGCCCTTGGACGGGTATACGGGCCGACCTTTAAAGAACTGTTACCCAACGAGTATATGTGGCAAGAATGACGCGGGAGCCTTACTGCAAAGGTGACAAGTTTCGATTCTGGGAATTTGGTTAGATATCCAGCATTTTGTAGAAGCGGAAAAGTGCAGGAGTGGCCATACCTCATGTTTGCTTCTTCAGACCTGCCCCTGCTCCTAGAATGAGCGGTTTGTTTCTCCCAGTCTCCTCACACAGCCCAGACCGTGTTCTTCAAGCGGGCTGGTTGATTCTCCCTGTGTAGTTCGCAGTCGCAGTGAATTTTTTGATAAGGTGAGGTTGAAGTGACAAATCAGCGCTAAGCCACATTTGTCGCTAGCGCGGTTCACGGCAAAAGAAGTTTTGATTGCCATCGCCGCCTTCAACTCTTCAGTCAGTCATTCCTGGGAGAGACAACGGTTTGGAGGTCGTGAATATCTGTCAGTCTTGTGTTAGCAGACTCACCCTACTGTCCACCATGACTTCTGTTCTTGCTGTGGGCATTGGCGTTGCCGCCGCTGCTTTCTTTGTACGTCCTGCTTCGGCACGCTGCTCATCATTGTTCTTCTGAGAATGAAAACAATTAACAAACCTTCTTCCAGGGCCGTGCTGGTTTGGTCGCTTTTCGTCGCTACAGGGGAGGTGTCAACGCGATGGGGGAAGGCGTTCTACAAAGGCGGATTCGAGCCCCGCATGAACCGTCGCGAGGCGTCCCTGATACTCGGGCTTTCGTACGTATTTTTCCATTTGATCTCGAGTACTCCCTTCAAAGCGGCAAGGCTAACGGATCCGGTGCGGCATATAGTGAGAGAACACTTACCAAAGACAAAGTCCGCGCTAACCACCGAAAATTGATGCTTCTGAACCACCCCGACCGCGGCGGCAGTCCATACCTCGCGACGAAGATCAACGAGGCGAAGGAGCTTCTGGAGAAGCATGGTTGAGGGCGGAAACGGGACCAAACACTATTATGAACCTCGTTTCGTGGATGCGCCGTGTGAGGCATTCATGAAGGCCGGGCACCATTTCTTGCGAAATTTGCATTTCCGTTTTGCTTCCTGCATAGCACGGCGTTGGCGGGTATTCCAGATAAAATATAGACCAGATTTTGTTAAAAATTTATGTGTAGGCTTCGCAAACGTCTCCTCTCTTGCATCTATTTTGGTTACAAATACCCCTGTTAGAATAGAGCGAGGCATGCGCTACGGGTGGTTGTGAGCTGCGGACTGTGCTGTACTACTCTTTCTAGATCCGAGCCTAGGCTCCTCTTCTGCCGATGTATATTAGGCTAGTTTCTGCTGTCTGAGTCGATTTAACTCGATGCCTCTCTTCTTGTGCATCCGACACCCTGAATCCTCTCCAAGCAAGTTATGTTGCCTTTGCTACATTTACTCTTGAATATAATCATTGGAGTGACCATCTTGCCTCCAGCAGATATGGCTTCAACAAAATATGCAAATGTCCCTGCATATATCTAACCTTCGGGCGTTGACTAAGAAGTACTCCGTACCTCCTTAACTATTAATCAGCGAAGGGAGCCCGGGCTACCCTTGACGATCCATCTCAATACATAACTAGCAGTTATATCTATCACCAGGACTCTTGCCTCAACTCATGGCTTGTTTAAGTCGCTTTTAGTATGAGGAGGAACGCCCGGCGCTGGGCTTTCAACGGGCCAACCAGTTGATGGTCAGTATTTCAATATTGTGATGTCCTCTGAGCAATGGCTAATACCTCCGACTTCGAAAGAATCAGTACAAACATACCCCTCCAACGGCCGCCTCACGGCTCTTGTCTCGGTCACCATGTCCAACACGGATGCCCCGCCTTTGCAGCCCCAACAGCTTCAACAGAGCGAGGGACAGCCAAAGTGGTACCGAGTTCTCCAGCCGCAAATGGACACTGCAGCCCATGATCCTCTCGATCCAGCCAAGCGCTACCACGAAGGTGTCTTTGTCGAAGCAAACCCAGAAAAATTAAGAGGGACTCTATTCCATGTCACGGGCGACATTATCGGAGCGCATGGCATGAGGTACGAGGAGAGAATCAACTATTGCCCCGCGGATTCGATACATTTGCATGTCAACCCGCAGATCGGGTGGGTTCTCTCCGCTGATTTCCATTCGGGGAAAATCAGCACCATCCTGCGATCCTTGCCGACTCCCCCCAAACAACAGGGGATCAACTTTTGGGAAGTAGATCCGGTTACGAAAAGGCATGAGATCATTTGGACAAAGGAGAATGGAGATCCCTATGGGCCTGATGAGCAACAGCGGCCGGTGTTCAAGTGTAATGAATGGACGAATCTGTACGCAGTTCCGGCGTTGCGTGATGCAGGGGTTTTGCACGACTTGGCTTGAAGCTGGATCCTGGAAGGATTCGAGGGAGAAGAACTTGCTATGGATATTATTATTTTTCATTATAGTCTTATAGAGTAAACCGACTATGAGACTACCTGAGAACAGGGGCTCCCATCACTCTCCTCCAGCGTATATACATGTGGTCCTTGATAGAAGAACTCCAGCCACGTACTCTGTCACCCAAGCTCAAATGTCTCAGGGTGGATCTAAACCTGATGGTAGCAACCCGATGGTAGCGACCCAAAGGTAATCACCGGGGTGGATGGTCACGACTTCATTTTGTATCTTGGTCGTGTCTCAGATCCCAAGACAGATAATCACAACTCTCTCGTAAATCCGATGTCTTTTCAATAGGTATTCGAGACAGCCTGTGTCGTGGGATTTATTTTTTGTGCGCTACATCATAATTATTATTATGGTATCATCAGCCAGTACTTGCTCTCTCCCCTACCAGTTCAATGGCACCTCCATAACAATTTCCAGCTTCATAACATCTTAACGGCATAGCCTCTGGGAAAAGGAGCGCTTTTGACTCCCTGAAGGGCATATCCTGGGGTTTGGTAGACTGGTTAAACATCTTCCAAACATTTACCCATTAAGACCTAACATTGAAATGACATGACCAAAGGGCCGAGACTCTCTTCCTGAGTCCAGCACCCTTCGCAGCCACAAGCCTTGTCGGGCAAACGAGTTATAACCAATCTTTGTCCATCATCCGCAATAAAGCCATCTCGGCAGGCCATATTTGAAGGAATTCGTGGATTCGCCAGCACCAGTCCTCCTCCCAGGATAGAAATGGGGGTGCACATGAGGCACAAAAGAATTCCCAAAAATCAGGGCACCAGCCAGCAGCTTCCCAATCCACAAGGGTGATGTCAAAAGATCGCTCCCCTTGGTTATTTCGGCCATTTTCTGCGACCACAATGTTCTTTTGCTGGATATCCCCGTGCGTCAGTGTGGGCCGGTGACCTTGAAGTACACGAGGAAGGCAGGTTTCATAGAAGCGGGCTTTATAGTCTGGGCAACCTCTGCGTTCGCTTGAGGCTCGATAGTTTGCTGTGAGCCCAGCAATAAAGGCAGCTTCACTATTGAATGGGCCCAGATAGATGCCACTGCCTTTCTGACACCAGAATAGGTAGTGATGCACACCACTACCGTCCAAACTTCCAAAAAAATTGGGCCATGGACATTCAACCTCCCGCATGGCATCAAACACTTGACGGAGCTTGGCAACAATTCCATCTTTCTCAGGCTCTGTCAATGACGGCCAAAATCAAGTCAAAGTGACACCCCAGGTGCGCGCTGCATGACCAGAAAAAATCTGATTGCGGTCTTGATACATTGCGTACAATCGAGGGGCTGGGATCTTAGGGGCATGTCGTTCAAGATAAACCAAAGCCTGCCCTTCCCAGGTCTCTACGCAGCTGCCGAATTTGACAACAATCTCATTGTTCACTGCAACAACCTTGGCGGCTGAGCGCTCCCATATAACATTGGCGCATGCCCTGATTTCGTCTGGAGTGGGGAGAGCAGGTAGAGGCTGAGAATTGTTTTTGAATGGGAGAGTAACCGGTTCCCACATCTGGACTGAGGGGGGAGGAGGAGGCTGAAGGGGCGAAGGCAAGCCTGGATGACAGCTCTTCGTTAGAATTGCGATGGAGCTCACTTTGCAGCGAAATGGGCCTATGATCTTTTATAGAAAACGGCAGAAAACGGCACGTGACATGTCGGCGGTATCTTTTTTGATTGGTCAGAGGAGTGGAGAAGGGTGCCAAGCATTTGCGCTTCTTGGCACCAGCTTTCAGGTCGCATCAAGGGGGGAGAGAGAATATATATGTGCGGTTGACAATATGGGAATACTTGACTCTGTATATATTGTATTCATCATCCAATATCCTTTAAATTTCACTCATAGGTCCCGCTCGATAACCAAAACATTAAACAAAAAATATGGATGATATGCCAGAAGAAATACGGAAATCATACTGGTCTTTCCAACAGCAAGCATACCAGGTTTGTTTATTTTGCAAACAAAAGTCCAAAATCTATCTCATAGCATCCATGCCTCCTTGCAGGGAAGCTTCAAGGTCATTGGGCAACGCACCACTGTGAACCGTCTCCTGAGGGCGTGGCTCGTCTTGCTTCCAAGCGCCGATGTTCTCTTCTGGTATCGGGACGCTGGTTTGTTGAGATGCAGATTGTGGCAAAGCACTTCCGACTTGAGGGTGTGTTTGTCGTACGTGTGCTCGGAATCCCACGACCTCGTCTAAGATCATTTTTCGCATCTCATGAACGTCTTCCACGACTTCAAAATGAAGGAAATCGAACGGGATTTTGCAAACCGGCTCATCAGATGCATCGTGCCAGATTTGTAAATACGGGTGTTCGAGAGCCTCCTCCACCGAGATACGCGATGATGGATCAAACGCCAACATACGATCAAGGAGATCCAGAGCTTCTGGATTCGCATTCGGAAATAGTCTTTGGAAGGAGACTTTCTGCATATATGGCAAATTGCGAACGTAATCCTGCGCACGGGGAGACCCGATTCGGCGAAGGGTATCTTCATTTGGAGTTCCTAGATATCCAAGGATCTGATTCAGCTGGTCGACATAGTCACGACCCTTGAAGAAAGGTCGTCCTCCAAGTAATTCGGCAAGAATGCAGCCGACCGACCACACGTCAACTGGTTTTTATGTTAGACTCGATAAGTTCGAAGTATTGTTTTATTTGGGGGCTGTGACATACTGGCTTTCGTGTAGCTTGGGAAGCTCAACATGATTTCCGGAGCACGGTACCATCTCGTAGCAACATACTCAGTCATGTAGCCGGCATTCTCGTCCGGGTCCATGGAAAACCCACGAGCAAGACCAAAATCGCAGATTTTGAGCTCACAGTCGGCATTAACGAGAAGATTTCCCGGTTTCAAATCACGATGTAGGACGTTGGCCGAATGGATGTACTTGAGCCCACAAAGGATCTGATAGATGAATGATTGGAAATGAGCGTCGGTCAGGGGTTGACCAGAACGGATAATCGCAGCAAGATCGCATTCCATGAGCTCTGTTACATTCTCAGCGAGACAATCCGTTAATCAGAAGCGATAGGTGCCCTCACCTTCATATAGGTAGACTTCGTTGAAGTGTTCGGGCCTCGGAATGTCCATATCATAGAGACAGGTGATCTTGAGCCAGTGTCAGGACCTGTCGAAGCTTTGAATTGGGCGAGGGAAGCTTCCAAAACATACATTGCGGTGGCCGCGGAAATGCTGCAGCAATTTGATTTCTCTCAAGGCACGTTTAGCAAGGATTTTCTTGCTGAAGACATTGGTGACCTTCTTGATAGCGACGCCTTCACCGGTTTGTACGTTCGATGCAGCACTAAGAAGATGCAGCGCATGGCGGTCAGAATTTGCTCATCCACATCAAGCATAAGGCCCCAAAAGAAAATTGGGCATTGGTTAAGTAAGTCTTCCACAAATCGTGAACGCAATGTCTATGCGACGACCAAACGACTACCCCGCCCAACAATCGACGAAAAATCAAACGACATACCAGACAATTCCATAAGCACCTTGTCCAACTTCCTTTGTCACATTGTACCGTTCATCCACAATAAAGTCCTGGTTGAACACCCTGAACACCTTGCGTCCTTGTAAATCTGCCATTGTTGCGTAACCGGAATCACATGTATGAAAACCAAATGACCAGCTCTGGAAGATCGAATCGGTTGAGGACGGAGGGAATCACTCAGGCTATGGCCCTTGCTGAGAGGCCGTGCGAGAATGAAACGACAGAATTGATCCAGACAAGAAAGCGTGTAAGCGTGTGTGGACGAGTTCTTGCTCCTGGTCCAGCGAGGAGAAGAGGGCGGGCGGGATGACGATGGAGGAAGAAGAAAAACGAAAGTCGTACGCCCCTTAAAGCCCAGCGCTGACGGGAGATCCCGTTCGTGTCTCAGGTGACAGCGAGTGAAGAATCCAATAGGGAGGGCGGCGTTTAACAGCTCTCAGTCATGCGAAACAAAAAAACGGACAGGATGGGCGGAGGGGGGGAAGAGGCATGAACTAGTTAGGGATGGGCAGATACTTGGCAGGCTTGCTGGAGACCCAACTGGGCGCCAAAGACGGACAGCCACGGCCAATAGAACACACCGGAAGTGCGAACGCCAGGCCGGCAAAGGAAAAGGAGCAGGCGAATGGAAGATGCAATGTGGGTGTGTTGTGGAGGAGCGCGGGCCTGCTAAATAACTTAACAGTCTCGCTAGCAAACTGGCGGAGGGGCCGCGGCTGGCGGGGAGTTTGGCTTGCGGATCACCCAGAAACCACTTGTTCAGTTCGATAAGTTAGTTAGTTGGTAAATATAATGCAAGAAACATGGACAACAACCCTTGGACTGATACAAGCTGCCCATCTCTCCCGATCTACAGAGGAAATGACTGGAGCTGTTATTCCAAATTTCGCGACTTTTCATCCCTGGGAGCATCATGGATCCGTTTTTCTGAAACCAGAGGGACTCCTCTTTGTCTGCACGCCATTTCTCGTTGAGACGCATCTCCATTTGCACCGGTCGCCTGGTGGTACATCAATTGAAGGGGCTCCTACTTTCAGCCTTACGGGCTTCGAAGCCTCCGTTCTAGAGTTCACACAGAATCTTATGACTGCCGGACGGGTTAAAACAGACAACTCTCCCGCTGAAACATGCGCTTGACAGCCTCCAGCCGTTGGATAGAACCACGGCCCATCGCCTCATGATGTACCGCTATCCATGCGAGACCATCTGCCCCGAGCCTCATTGACCGCAAAAGCTGCGAAAACTCGATCAAAGCCATTCGATAATATTGCCATTTGACTCGGTTGACATGAAGCAAAAATGCAACCCTACACATACAGTTCCATAGAGGAAAGGAACCTCGTCGCCACTTGGCGCAAATTGCCAGGCTTCGGGTGGATGGAGGAGATCATATCAGTTTATGCGAAACATCATCCACAAACGGTCGTGATCTCGACGGTGGCATGTCTCGCATCGAACAGCATTCTGGCCTTCAAACTCCCTTAAGCCTGGAGGACCCTTGTTCTTGGATATCTTCTCATTATTACTGACAGGATGGCCTGCCCAGCCACTTAATAACACTCAAGGAACCCGCCCCCCAATTTTCTTCAAACAGCAAAGGACCCGCGGAGGTGCAGAAGGAGTCTCCATCTTCGACGAAGAAGATCAGGGCTTGGCATGGATGAAATCTGCTCTGAGATCTCACGCATACAGGCGGTTATGACGCTATCTGAAGCCCTGGATCCAGGATGGGATTCAAAGGTGAATGGACTGGCATGGGTCTGGCTCCCGACCAAGTTATTAACTCCCTAAGAATCGAAGTTAACTTGTCGAAATACTTACTTAGCCATAGCGCGCGGCAGTCTAGCTACTCTAAGCACCACGCATGCATAGACAAGAATGCGTTTACCCAAGGCGCTGAAAAATGTCGACGAGATCCTCTTCACAGCCTATATTACGTGCCTGCCCCAGGAAGCTAGTTACCTTCTTGGTGGCCGGATCGGGGGGACACCCTTAACAATTTTAGTTGCAGGGGTACTCCGTACATGGGATTGGGATATCAACTAGGAAAAATTTCGTCCACGCACACGCCCATCCCGGCGCTTAGTCAAAGTAATGAACGAAAAGCTCCTCGTGGTTTCCTCTCTTTCGTTTCTTTTTTTTGAAAGCTGCCTACGAGACTAAGACATCCGTCGTTTATCTTCCATTCTTTCTCCCATAGAGCCCCTTCTAGTGGACCATTCCGAGAACGCTTAACCTGCGGAAGCAAGCTCGCGGTCCATGGGTCCAGCGACAAGCTTTTCCCCGAACACGCAACATGCATGAGAAGAAAAGTCGCCAATTGTCGTTAATTCTCAGCAAGAACCAAAGGGTTTCGGCCTGGCCGAAATATGATGATTCAATGGAGTGATGCTTTCCGTAGTATCGTTGGTCTCGACAAGAAACAGCGCATGGATTAAGAAAATGTTGAAGTTGATTTTCGGATGCAACCCTGTTCGACAAGCAATTCTTTGTGCTTGCTCTTCCCGCGTGGCACAGAAGGGTTGGGCTCTCCGTCTGTTCTAGAAGGTTGAGAGAGAAATCAAACGCTGGAGTATGTATGACCTAATATCCGAAATGGTACCCATGTCGAGAACTGGGGTATGGGGTAAAAACAAAAACTCTTTAATCAGCAAAAAGGAATCACCAATGGAAAATAAAAAAAACCTGGGGGAGCTCCAAAAGCAAAGAAAACGGCGCCCTGCACCCCATCTTCTCCCATATTAGACGGCAGGAAACGCAGCGCCATCGCCTCGAAGGTCGCTCCCGGCACTATACACCATTTGACCGTCTTCAACATGGCATCTGATAACTTGCCCCCTTCCAAACATTGCTCTTTCGAAACCCCGGAGGATCTTGACCTGATGGCCCAATTGTCTTAGCCCTTCGGCTACTGACTCGCCAATTCCTTCTTCCAGGTAGACCGTTCGATCCACTGCATGGGAGGATCTCGGGTGTCCAGCGCCAATACAGAACCGTGGGGCATCAAGAGCTGATTGCGGAGTGCCTTTAAACGCTAGCATGTTCAACAAAACCTGAACGTGACCTTGTGGTTGCATAAAGCCTCCCATCACACCATAAACGGTGTGTAACGAATTATCTTCTGGATTGGTGATCATCGCAGGGATGATGGTATGGTAGGGTCGTTTGCGCGGGGCAATCACGTTAGGGTGGCCCGGTGTCAGGGAAAAGTTCGAGGCTCGATTCTGGAGGGGGAACCCGCAGCCCTTGGGGACGATGCAGGTTCCGAATCCCCCGTAGAGGCTGTTGATAAAGGAGATGCCGTTGCCTTCTTTGTCTGTCACCGCAAAGTACACGGTATCGCAATGGTTATGTGCTGGACTGCCGTGATCCACAATGCCCGAAGCCTTGTTCGGGTCAAAGAGCTTTGCACGCTCGGCGAGATAGGCTGGCGAGATGAGGCCCTGTGATGGAACCTTTTCGACGTCAGGGTCGGTTACCCACCATGCTGCATCTGCAAAGGCGATTCGCAAACTTTCAATTACGGCGTGGAGATATGGGACGGAGTTGTGTTGCTCCTTCGTGAAATGTGGGATTTTGCTAGTCCTTGACAACTCCTTCAGTATACCGAGAGCCATCAATGCAACAATGCCTTGGCCGTTTGGAGGATGCTCCCAGATTTCGATCTCTCCTCCATTAATACTTGAGCCCGCAATCTCGCTCGGATTGATCTTCAGTGATATCGGTTCAACGCCTTGGCTGCCAGTCTCCGCATGGTATTTGAGATCGTCAAGGCTCAAATAACCTCCAAGGTCTTTCACAACTTTGACGATTTCTTCGGCAATTCTGCCTTTATAGAAACCGTCCTTTCCTTCCGTCGCAAGAGTTCGGAATGTCTGAGCAAGATTTGGATTTTTGAAAATCTCGCCGGGCAAAGGAAACCTAGCACCGTCTTTTGCTTCAGGATCGGCCTTCAACAGCTCTCTGAAATTCGGTGAAGCGTTGCGTATCGGCTCTTCGCATGCTTCCCACTATGTTCACATATTAGAACAGACAAAATACACTCACACCTTTTAAGATGGAACTAGATCAACCTACAAAACTTGAAGCTAGTTCGGAAACTGGAAATCCGTTCTCGCCTAGCTCGATCGCGGGCTTCAAGATCTGTTCAAGGGTTAATCGCCCGCTGCCAAACTTTTCAACGGTGTCGACCCATCCGGCTGCTGCGCCCGGTGTGGTCACCGCATGGACACTGGTCATGGGAATTCCGCCGGTTTCACCTGCTGCAAGGCCCATATCCTTTCGAATCTGGTCCAGGGTGAGGTTTCCAGCAGCGCGGCCGGAACCGTTGAGTGCAGAGACCTTTTTGGTCTTTGCGTCATAAAACAAGCAAAACATATCTCCACCAATGCCCGTCGAGCTCGGTTCTGTCATATTCAATGCTGCGGCTGTACATTACTTTTCAATTAGAAATTTACTGGACAGCATCGGTTGCACTTGAGACGAACCAACAGCCACAGCCGCATCCTACATATGCCATTAGAAGATCAACTAGAAGCGTCTGATCGAGGTTCGTGCTATCTACTTACAGCTGCATTTCCACCTTGCTCCAGAATCTTCTGGCCCGCGGCAGCAGCCAATGGCTGGGTGCACGCCACCATACCGGTTGTGCTGTGGACGACGCTCCGTCTACTCGCAAAGGGAGCGAACTGGAGCCCCGGCACCGAGTAGATATCCCGACACGTCAAACCCATTTTGGGCCAGCCTTTTTTGCTATTATCTTCTCGAAATTCCGTCCGTTTCTTGATGGAAAGATATAGGGTAAGACAAATCCAAATGACTCAGCTATGGGGGACGAATTGCAAATATATACTCGCGGAGAGAGCCCGTGAAACCGGCGGGTATGGAATCGCCCCTTGCCGACATGCCTGATGTTCCCCTCCGCAGTCGCTGCTTTGGCCAGGTGTGCTGTTCCCCACAATCAGACGCCGCCCGTGCTTACAGTAGATGGCATCCAATGATATCGCACGAATACGCCGGTACTGGATACGGTTCCAGAGTTGTTCTGGAATGCCTAATGTTACCGCTAGTTCTTTCTAGGCTTAGCGGGTTGCTCTCGAACTTGGCCCACGTGATTGGATGACTCAAACTGCTTATCTAATCTGGCAGGTCCAGCTCTCCAGCTGCTGCCCTCTCTCTCCCGCACGCGAAAGTCAATCAGGGGCCTGCTCTCAAACATCCTCGCTGACATCACCTGTCCAGATCCCTGGCGGTGAGCAATCCATCATATCTTCAAATATCACGATGGATTGACCCTTTTTGTCTCGGTATCTTTTCCTTGTTTCGTTGTTTTCCCCTTCTTTCTGATCAGAGCCTGCAACCATGGTGATCTACGTGGACTATGCGCGGGATGCCTACGCTTCCTTCCCCCCTCAAAGTAGTAAAGACGCGCAGCGTTTGCTCTCGGTGGAAGCTGTGGCACTGAATTCTTCAGCCGGTACTAGCATACCGGTCGCCTTATCGGCCGACCATGTTGATGAAAGTGGGACAGAAGGCGTGGATGCCGAGGCCGGGGATAGCTCCAGTGCGGGTGGTCTGGATCCCGTTTCTTCAAAGTTCGCTTTAGCTTTGAGCTGCTATCCGTATGCAAAATGTGCATTCATTTAAGGCTGTGCTTCTCAGGTATTGACCCCAAAATTTCGCAGGGTAGTGAAGCAGATTGCTCGCTGTGTGGACCTGAATACTCTCCATGCCTTGTCGAGGACATGCCACGAGATTCGTGAGATATTGCTCACCTCTCGGCGCCAGCTGATGCGGGAAACGTTACGCTGCCGGCATGACTCAATCGGGATTGGAGGGTCTGCTGAGTCTAGTCTTCAGGGCTCCCCGCGGACTACAACATCAGGAAAGACAGGTTGTTGTGCGCGGGACATGGTGGCTGAATGCTACAGATGCACTTCTATCGTTTGCAGGGTATTTCTCGCGGAGTTCAACCTTGATCAGAAACCGCTGACAAGTACTAGAACTGCACCATGAAACCTCCCAGCACCTCAATCTTGAAAAATCGCCTTCGCCGACTGTGCTCAGCATGTTTGTTGGCGCCTTTATCCGACCATATCGCTTCTGAGGCATCAAAACATCATGACGACGGCGTCCACTATTCGACCTCAATATCCTTCGATCCTTCTTTTTGCTCATGCAGTGACGAAATCTGGCTATGCCGGCCTTGTGGCCAAATATTACACAGTGATGATACCGCATATAGACGTGTGTTCTCTTGGCGCACTCGATATAGTTCATACTTGGGCGGTGGTCTTGGCGCCGGCATTGGCGACACCTGCCAGGGCGTGCAGTGCGGACGGGAAGATAAATGTCTTGCGGCGGAAGAGATTGAAGTTGAAGTCGACTGTGAAGTCGATGACTGGGTAGCAGAACATGCGGACCATTCGCTCCCCCACCATGGTGACGGCCATCATGCCGATGGCGAGGGCCCAGGGTATTTGAGGCAAGAGATAATGGGCGTTGGCGGTGTGGTAAAGCACAAGGTGAAGAAGCGGGTAAAGATAGGTGCAAGTGTGGAGGAGCGCGAAGATGAGCGCGAATCCTCCGTATACTTGCAAAAGGAAGCTTCAGGAGAGGCCAGGAGCTGGTGTGGATGGTGCTTTCGGGTGGTGCCAAGCAAGTCAGAGCTTAACTAACGCTAGACCGTCTTCATGAGAGCCAGCGTGTCAGCCTGTTGGTGATGTGGTACACACTGCCTTGATTGTGCATCTTTACACCAAGCCCATCTCTCTGGTTCTCCTGCATATCAGAGCAGAAATGGTTCCATATCCATAGACCTTTAATGTTATGAATTAACAACCTGTGGTAGTACAAATCCATCTGCATACCCAACAACAGGCTAAAAATTGACCAAGGATGGGCTGCATCCTTGGAATTTGATTTCAATTTATTTGAAACATCTGATGTTGCTCCAACAGAGCAATATGCATCTCATTTTCCTGTTCCTCTTGGGCGTTCCTGAGAAGGCGGCTGTCCCTGATCTGCATCCTGCAGGCACAGTGTTAACTATAACCCCGGTTTTTTAATAAGAATACTCGAATTGGAGCTCATTTTGGAGCTCTAATCCCTGTACTATTGCAGGACCCTTTTTTTTTATTATTGTCGTCTATCCTCAGTTACCATTTGACATGAGATAAATGATTAATTGCATGTTGCGAAGATGTTGAATAAAAAGTACAGGACTTGGGACTGACATCCCATGGTGACTTGCAAGAGATTATGACTCTTGTGTTGGTGACGCGTGAATGTCCCAACCCACTGTGTGCTCATATTTTGACATTGACCCTCCCTTTTCCCCGCGGTTATTTTACAGCTCCAACAGTTGAGGCTTCCAGCAGCGCTTTTCTGTTTGATGAGATCAGTTTAATGTTATTAATGATAAGGAAACAGGAGGGAGAAAAGATTTATTGCACACTGCTGCCTCTCCTTCCCCCTTATTTCCGAGGCACTTTGAAGAGATACCCCCTGCGTGCAGGAGGAGGAGGAGGGGGGGAGGAAAGGGGGCTTCCAACCCAACTCTGCCCTCATCATGTTGATTGCAAAACTTGGTAGTAATGGAAATCACTCAGCTTGGTATTCCTTGATCAATCTGGGATAGCGACTGGCTGAGGGGGCGGGGGGGCGGTCTATTTGATAACTGGGTGGTATTTGGTTGAGAGGAAGGCCTTGTGGGGGTGGGCCTGTCGGGTCCCAAAGGGGCCCCCAAATCGGCGTTTTAGGAGGACCATGGGAGAAAATA